ACAGGGTTGTGTGTACCCAGAAACATGGCTTTTTACACCTTGATTATGTGCTGTCAAGGAACAAAAAAGCTTTATTTTTTTACTACTTGCAGGTTCAGCCTCTACAAACACACACGCACACACATGCACAAAGGTAAAATCTAGAAAAATCTGAAAAAATTGTATTCCATAAATCGTATCAAATACTGATTAGATACTATTTATTATATATACTCCATCCATTTTTTTTTTAAATCACAAACACTGTTTCACATAATGTATTAAAATAAGTTAGGACCCCTATGATATTTGCAACATTACAGCATGGTAATACCACAGTACTGAAACTTAGAAAGCTCACTATTAAAAAAAACTGCAAAACAAAACGAAAAGAAATTATACTTTTCAAACAAGCATCCTAGATCAATTAATGATTACATTGTCAAGTGGAAAGGAAGTAACATTAAATCACTTTTTTTTAATGTCCACATAGCTATACTAGAAAATATTTAATGCATTTGCTAGTGAGTTTGTGTGCTGGAGAAACACAGCGAATGCATTAATACCGTCATGAAGGAAGTATGTGCAGAGGGGCTGTGTCGATGGCAGCCGCAGACTCCATGTGGGGTGAAGGAAGCGTGCAGAAGACGCACTTGGATGCCTGCAGTCTAGTTTGAGGAGGAGAGAGGGTTAAGTAAACACATGTGGTGATCAATGCCAAATTCGAGTGGTGAGGAGTTCTATGGTAACAGAGGGTAGGAAAAAAATCTCTTCATAGTTGGAGATGTGGGCGGATCAGGGGAAACTTGAAGAGAAAGAGTCGTGATTCTTGAAGCGTGATTAGAATTAAACAGGAGGGCTGGGCAGGAACAACCTTCCATTTAGAGGGAAAAGCATTGTTGAGAAGAAAGTTGTGAGGAAACATGTCTCCTTAGAGACCTCACATACAATCCGAAATCGGAACCTGTTTCTGTTTTTCAATAGTAGAAGACCACGTAATGTATAGAAGGGGAATGTCCCAGGAGATTTTTAAATAGTACTGACGGAATTGTGATGAGTGGGGAGGGCCAGGGCATTCAGGGGTTGAAGTTCTCCAGAGGATTCTAATGGCCAGCCAGCCCCGAGAATCACTGGTTTCAGGATCACCTGGAACCAGACACACCTGTGTCCAGATCCTAAGTCTTTCATGCTCTCCTTTGTGATGATGGATACGTAATCTATGTGAGCCCTTTACCTTGTCGGCAAAATGGGAGGGACTAATAAAACCCACCCGACAATAATGTAATTCATCCACACATTCCTTCATTCACTCACTTATTCAGTGTATATTTATTGAGTACTTACTATGTGCTAGGCATCAAGCTAGATCTTGGGGATTTAGCAGTATCCGCCCCCCAACTCAAAACGGAAACAATGGAGTTTTTGGCTTTATTTGCCCATGGAGTTTACATTTTACTGTTATGTGTGTTAAATATAGTAACATAGGTAAAGCACTTAGCACAATGCCTGGCACACAATAAATAGAAGGAATTATAGTAATAATCATGTTTGCACACATTTAACTAGGGTCATCATGTGAAATTGAATATCATTTTAATTTCTAATAAAGCCTGATTACTTTAATGGAATCAAATGTCTAATTTACAACAAAGAAGTGATTAGCCCATAAATGCACCAGCATTAGTAAGGTTGCAATTTGTTTTTCTCTGCTGAGGGTGTTCACTGGCAAAAGGCAATCATAAGCCAACCTTCCTTATGCCTTCCAGGAACAAAGATATCTGTAAATCATTATTACAAGGATGTAGTCAGTATCAGATACGCCAAATACATAGTTACATGTTATCCTGTGGATACCTCAGAGAAAATAGGTTGCACTTGATAATACCATAGCATTAATGTCCGTCCTTGCGATTCTGCCGAAACCCTCTGCAGGATGGCTTTCGGAAAGGAGACTTGGCAGCGCAGAAGTTCAAGCGCCTCTCTAATCCGATTAGGGCACTGATGGGGCCACGCGGTGACCTACCTCCAACAAGGTGCTCTTTGAAAAAGGAATGTAACAAATTTACAAAACCTGTGAATGAAGGAATGTTGCACTTTCTGGGAGCAGCTTTTGGAATCAAGTTTCAAAGTATTAGAGCTATTATTATTGATCCTCTGCTGGTTTAGCAAATAGCTTCACTTACCTGGAGAGAGAACAATTGGAGAGAATGTTTGCTGAATAGTTGATGTTTCAGATTTTTCAAGCTGCTAGATTTTACTTGGGGACAGTGCCCTAAAATTTTTTGGATTTGAATTTGTTCTGCTGCATTAATTCAGAAAATCAATTCACGTGACACCTCTGTAGAAACAATCCAGCAGGAAAATTGTTGCCAGTTAGTGAGATCAATATTTTTACTTAGAAGTATTCTTTTATCTGTGACATGCAACTGCTGCATTATATGCATCATGGATTATAAGTTTATTCACTGAGATTTAACAGAGCTGCATTTTATTGGTCACTGGTCTTACTTTCTTAAAATAAGAATGCTTTCCTTAGAAAAAAAAAAAAAAGAATGATTTTCTTGCCTCCAAATACATTTGTAAATTTGACCTCTGCTTCTAAATAATGTACAATGACATAAACATCTCAGTACCTTTCCAGAGTATACATTAAAAATCCACTACCTGGAAATCCATGTTAATTCATAGCAATAGAATATGGAAGAGGAATGATACAGACTGGCTGTGTTCTCCATATTTTAAACTGGTCTTCCGGTCTTTTATGCTAAATTTCTTATAATTTTTAAATACCTAATATAGAAAATTAGAGTGCTGGTCTGGTTGGAATTGCACATATTATATCTGACAGAATGTAACAGTATATGTTCGACCTGAATATTTATGAATAGAAGTCCAAGTTCAACATGGATTCACCGTACAGATCAACCCTTGCTGTGGTAATGCCTTAGCAGCCGTTACACAGTGGGGCAGCATAAGGTCAGATGCTATTCAAGTAACTGTTGATGGACAGAGATTGCTCTGGGCCCCAGTTTCTGACCGATTATGGATTGTTTATATCTGGTAGTTTCCGGTTGTCAGTGTTTTGGGCAGGGATGGGGGTGTGGATCAGAGGTATTACTTGAGGCCACTTCATCAGGCAGGAGCCATCGACCTGGCAGGGTAGCTAACCATGGCATTCAAACCAGCATGTCTGGAGGCATAATTATAACTTGAAAATCCCAGTGGAATGTACGGTGTTACTGTTTCTTCTCCCAAGTGAATCAAATTATGTATGAAATATTCTATTTTCCATGGTCTTCTTAGTAAGAATGGATACACTAGCTGCAAAGATTTTGTCCTAAAACAGTTTGTGAAGTCAAAAGACGAGTGCATCCCTTAGGACAGGGATTTTCAACCTAAACACTATTGACATTTGGGGCTGGATAATTATTTGGTGTGAGGGGCTGTCCTGTGTGTTTCAGGCCACTTAGCAGCATCCCTGGCCTCTACTCATTAGATGCAACAGCACCCCCAGGCTGTGATAATCAGAAATGTCTCCAGACATTGCCAAATGTGCCCTACAAGGCAAAATCACCTGTACATAGTTGAGAACCACTGCCCCAAGAAAAAGAACACTTGAATTCCATTGTACTCTTCTAAATACAGGACAAGTCACGGCCAGACTAAATAAGGACATATTTTATTTTTTAAAAACATTTCTTTTGAGCTATAAGAATTACTTTTACATCTCAATTGCATAGAACTTTATTCCAAAGCTCTCTTGAATTCTGTGTAAACTCAGTGTTCATCTAACTTCTTATTTCTATAAGAGGGAAGAATTAGCTACATTCTAACGTTCCCTTCATTCTAAAAAAGTTTCTGCGATTCTGTTCCTTACCGTAGGGTAAAGAAAATTAATTGTTAAGAAGTCCTTTGAAGAACAGGATCCATTTTGTCCATGAGTTTCTGAGTTTTGGAGACAAACATTATTATTACACAAAATATTAAACTTCAAGAATTGAAACCCCCTTGAATCAGGAAGTTAAAAATACACCACCCATAAGGTGGAAAATTGTTGTGCTACATTATGCTTTAAAAACTGGAAAAGCAAATCGCTAAAGTAGCCTTCAGGTAAATTATTTGATTCTACTCAAGAACAGATATATTTCCTGATATGCAAATCGTCATATCACAAATAGAAACCACCCTCCTATATCCATGAAAGCATTTCTGGCAGAAATTCTGTCTTGTGATATTTTAGTCAGTGCTACCTTGTGTGTTTCCTTGAAAAATGTAGCATTTGTTTAGCTTTCCGTTTCAGAGTTCACATTCAGAATGGTTTCTCCCTAGTAAGGTAAATTCTTTGTTAAATATTTCACAAGTGTGTGATAAGCTGGTGGAATATTTATAGTTTCTCCAGAAAAACATGCAACAAGTGAATATGCCAAATACTTTACCTTATGTGTTCAAAAGAAATTGTGTCATCATCATCTTTCACACATCCCATGAGATTTATTCACAGTTTATATTGACTGTGAAACTTTGTTACCCACTGGGAGTTCTGCTTTATTTATTCCAGATAATAGGATACTTGCAACCCATTAATAGTTGTAAACAGATCTTTCAAGTTCATCTGACATAGCAATTATAAAATGTATTTCTTAGACAAGTTTCTAGGATTAAATCAGGACAAAAATGAAGATGAGGTGACCACAAGAAGTTACTGTATTGAATAACTGACCTATTATTCAAAAAGAAATCACAAGTATTATAGACACCCAAGTTTCAAAATCCCAGCAGAAATTTAATGGGTTGATCACCTATTATATTTTAGAAAAACATTGACTGGATGACTGCTTATTTAAGAAACATTCTTATCCCTAGTGGGAGTAAAGAAACAGAATTAAATGAAAGGAGGGAGGGGAGGGAAGGAAGAATGGATTATGGATGGGTGGATGGATGAAGGATCTATATATAATGTGGGATATCAAATTCAGGCCAAGACCTATAGATTAAATTTTGCTTTTTATTTTCTTTTTCAGCCAATGTTTTCAGTTGCACCAAGCTTAGCCACCAATGCATCAGCAGCCTTTAATCCCTACCTGGGACCTGTGTCCCCGAGCCTGGTTCCAGCAGAGATCTTGCCGACCGCACCAATGTTGGTTACAGGGAATCCTGGGGTCCCTGTACCTGCGGCTGCTGCAGCTGCCGCACAGAAATTAATGCGGACAGACAGACTTGAGGTAGGAATGATTAGTCGGTTTCTTTTTTCTTTTTTTATTATTATTATTTTTTTTAATTTTATTATGTTATGTTAACCACCATACATTACATCATTAGTTTTTGATGTAGTGATCCATGATTCATTGTTCGCGTATAACACCCAGTGCTCCACGCAGACCGTGCCCTCTTTAATACCCATCACCAGGCTAACCCATCCCCCCACGCCCCTCCCCTCTAGAACCCTCAGTTTGTTTCTCAGAGTCCATAGTCTCTCATAGTTCATCTCTCCCTCTGATTCCCCCCCCTTCATTTTTCCCTTCCTTCTCCTAATGTCCTCCATGCTGTTCCTTATGTTACACAAATAAGTGAAACCATATGATAATTGACTTTCTCTGCTTGACTTATTTCACTTAGCATAATCTCCTCCAGTCCCATCCATGTTGATGTAAAAGTTGGGTGTTCATCCTTTCTGATGGCTGAGTAATATTCCATTGTATATATGGACCACATCTTCTTTATCCATTCATCTGTTGAAGGGCATCTCGGCTCTTTCCACAGTTTGGCTATTGCAGACATTGCTGCTGTGAACATTGGGGTGCATATGGCCCTTCTTTTCACTGCATCTGTGTCTTTGGGGTAAATACCCAGGAGTGCACTTGCTGGGTCATAGGGTAGCTCTATTTTTAATTTTTTGAGGCACCTCCACACTGTTTTCCAAAGTGGCTGTACCAACTTGCATTCCCACCGACAGTGTAAGAGGGTTCCCCTTGCTCCACAACCTCTCCAACATTTGTTGTTTCTTTCCCTGTCCATTTTTGCCATTCTAACTGGTGTAAGGTGGTATCTCAATGTGGTTTTGATTTGAATTTCCCTGATGGCTAATGATGATGAACATTTTTTCATGTGTCTGTTAGCCATTTGTAGGTCTTCTTCAGAGAAGTGTCTTTTCATATCTTCTGCCCACTTTTTGACTTGATTATTTGTTTTTTGGGTGTTGAGTTGGAGAAGTTCTTTATAGATCTTGGTTTCTTTATGGACTCCATTCTGATTTTCGAAGTGTGCTGTTTGTTTGCTTCTTCCATGGCCATAAAAGTTAAAAAAAAAAAATCGAAGCAGAGATTTTGGTTTTAGTGTTTGGAGCATTTTGTGAGAATTGAGGTATGCTGTGTTTGACAAGTGGAATGTGTATAAAAGCCACTGCATCCCTATGTATGACAGTGGATAAGAACTTGAACCCTGGGGTCGGACTGCCTCTTCACCTCGTTATGTCTCAGGTTCCTCATCCTTAAAGTGGACGTAATAATGGCACTTTCCTCAAAGAGTTAGGCCAGTGTCTGGCACACAGCACATGTTCCCTAAATGTTCATCGTTGGTGTTACTTCTATTAAGAATAAGTTCTCTTCCTCCCCTGACACTTGTTCTCACGACGATTTGCTCAGTGACTAGGTATCAAGCATTTTAAAATTTATTACTGCAAGTTTCCTCGCAGACCTCACTGTATTTTGGTTGGAATAGTGAGGCAGCTTCGCTTGTGAAGTGTGCTCTGATAAAAAAGTTTTTAAATTGGAAATTGCATCATGCTCTAAGTCTCAGAATCAGGGATGATCAGATGTATGTGCTTTGCTATTGCAGCATGAGAAAGAAATGAAGGATGTAATTCTTATATTGAAGTGGTTGTTCAGAATTTCAACATGGCTATAAATTAATGGATTTGGTAAGCTCTAGATGAAGAAAAAAATGGCAACATCCCTGTACAGTGAAGCTCTAAAGCCTGGCATTCTTGTCCAACTAAGGAACAAAATGATTCTTTCTTCTTTTCCCTGGTTAGGATGAGGCAATACTTAGGGCTGAGAAGTTTTGAGTGTTGTTAATTACTGAGAAAGAGGCAAAATAAGGCTGTTGTGTGAACATAATTGACACTAATAATTTATCAGTGGAGCAGGAATTCATTTAATAAGCACCAATTTCTTGTTTATGGGGTTTCACTACATGCACTGCAGAGAGGATCTCAGATTTCAGCGTAGTTATAACTGCCACCACTTTTTTTGACGGTAGTAACAATAGTTGGTATTTATGGGGTATTTACTATCTACCAAACGCGGCATCAACCCATCACATGCATCACATAGTTCACCTTCAAAACAATCTTCTGAGGAAGATACTATCATTAACTCCATCTTACAGGGCAATAAATTTAGGGGGAAAGTTGGGGCACAACTATGTGCCATATGTTCTATGGGTCATAGAAAGGATCTTTGTTCCAGTTGGGTATGAAGTAGAACTCCATTTTTAAACATTGTGTAACTCATTCCCATACAGGTGATAGTACAGAGAGTAAGCAAGAGATTCTGGCTCCTGTATATTCTTTAGAGTTGTTTGTTTGTTTAGACTTAGTTCGTACCTTTCATGAATATTTTGAAAAAAGCTGCTAATGAAGAGAGGACCATATGGAGAACTCAGAAAGGACTTTGGGACCTGGTTGCACACCCCCTGTGGACCAAGGACCGCTGAGTGCTAGAGATACACTTTGCCTTGTGGGTGGTTTGTCACTGTGCAGTTGCACTTGCTCACTAGTAAACTGATGCTGTTTGCGGATAAATTAGGAGGAAATCTAGGAAATTGTAAATATTTAAAAATTACCGGATGCTTAACATATGAATCACCTTCCTCCTGCCCCGATCTTTCTGAATCATACCCTGGGTTCCTAATGCATAATTGTGGATTGAAGGGAACCCAATAGGCAATCCGGGATGAACATTAATGAATTAGTTATTAGGAGGAGATGATATTTAGGAAACTTAAAAAATCTCTATTGAAATCTCTTTAAAGGCTGAGCTGTGTGGTCAGAACTCTTATAAACTAATCCTCCCACAGTTTTAGGTAGTCCGTAATCGGTTGTATTTTGTATAGCGTTTAATTAAAATGATGACTTTTATCATTGGTTTGGGGTTTCTGTCTTCTTTCTTTTCTTTCTTTCTTTCTTTCTTTCTTTTTTCTTTCTTTTTTTTTTTTTTTTTTGTGAGAAGCTACCTTGTGTATTTTCCTCTGTTGCTAGACTCACAAGTGGCTACTGCTACATGACTCTCGTTTCCTCTCAACCTGAATTCCTCTTATCTAAATGCAGGACGGTGGGAGGGCAGCTTCCTCTCTTCTTCTGGCTAAGAGGATCTGCTCCAGCGTCACAGTTACAATCTGTTAGCATATCACCGCGTGAGGTTCAGGGGCGTGGCTTTCTGCTAGGCACTGAGATTTTAGACACTCCCCTCTCCAGCTTACTTCCCCTCGCGCCAAGTGCACGGCACACAAGGATCTAAATGACGTGGCAGTAAGTGCACACACTTACTTGCCGATTGGCCACATGCTTAGTTATTTGGGTTTAAATCTATAGTTTTTCCCCGTGGAACTCTGAAGTACATGTTTGAATTTTGAGTTCCTTTTAAGGTGAAAAAAAGCTTACATTAGTTTAAATATCGGCCAGCTGTTCTTGCCACTTCTTTCTCTCTTTTTGCTTCACATTGTTAGACCATAAGGAAATTAAAAATACCATAGATTATCAGCGTTCTAGTTCTTCTGTTTGGAAGAACTGACACATATTTACAGCACCCGATGTGAGGCTACAAAAAATGTTAAATCCAACAACAGGAACCCAAGAATAGCGATTTTGCTAATTTAGGTGAGCAGCCTTGGCTCAAGTTTCTCATCTTTTCTGAGCTTCATATTCCATACATATAAAATCAGGGGATTGAATGAGATAATCCATAAGATCACCTCCAGTTAGAACGTTCTAAGGGACATTTAGGTTGTCTTTGTGCTTTTCATGCCAGCTATAAGCTATTGAAAATTTTATTTAGATATTATATTTAAATAGATTTATCTATTTAAATATAATTGCATTAATTTTAATATACAAATACATATTACACATTTTATTAAATATATAGATGTAAAACACACACATAAACTTTGTATCAGTATCCCTATTATCCGTTGTTTGTTGGATACCTTTTAGGAAACTGTAGCTGTGTACTTTCTATACTGTAAAATTCAGTATTTATGGTATTCTCTAAAGAGGAGCAAATCTCTTAAATATTGGTCACTGAAATGAGGCTTTTAAAATTCCATTTTGTGACTTTGGGATACCTTTTTGTAATTTCCAGACAGCAGTTTTATTTTCAGTGATTATTTTAAGAAATTGTTAAAATCTGTAGGTACTGGAAAGGACTAAGGTTTTCAGTCATATCTTTACTTTATTCTGAAGAGCAACAATATCCAAGGGAGAACTAGTGAACATCTTTCAAGTAAAAAATATGGTGAGGAATATCGGAAACCTTTTAATTGCTGTCTTACCCATAACAAGAAAAGGTCCACATCAGGATAGTGCCAAGCTCGTAAATGATACCCAATAACTTGTTAAATGAATGCATAAATGAGCTAGTCAACCAGTTAATTAATTAATCACAAAAAGACACATGCCTCTATTCAGAGTTTAGTGTAATCCAACAGAGAAGATAAAACATGACGAATTTTTAACATTTGTTAACATTCTCCTTGGGAACATGTTTACATTTAGAGCATTCCAACCACAAAATATGGCATCTCGTTCTGCCCCTAGTCCTAGAGCAGTGGTTTTCAAGTTTTAATGTGATTAGAATCACCTGGACGATTGTGAAAATGCAGAGCCTCATCCGCATAGACTGATGCAGTAGGTTTTCAGTGGGGCTTGGGAGTCTTTTTCACAAATCTGCCCGGTGATTCTAAATACAAATAGTCTATAAAATACTTATTCCACAGGATGCCAACACCTGCTATTTAAGTCTTAACTTCTCATCATTTACCTTATGTACAGTTATTTGTGACTCAATTAAAAACCTGCCTCCTCCTGTAATACACTTAACATTTGACATTTTGTTAAGTTGCTAAGAACACAGTGCACATAATGAAATATTTCAAGTAAACTGGTAATTATTAAGGTCATTTATACTGCATAATAGCATTAATCAAACAAAGAACTAACCGGTGA